ACCTTGGAAAAGGCACTTACCCTATTTAGTGTCTCAGTTTCTTCATTTTTATAGTAAGGGGGGATGAGGTGACCCCATGGGTCCTTTCCAAATCTAAATCTAGGATCCTACAATTTTCTTTAATTACCTCAGTAGCTCTCCAAGCTATCCTAATTGTTATCTTGGTTTAAGCATGTATGTAATTTTAACACACTGAAAAGACAAAGAATATCCTTGATTGTGAAAAGATTGGAAAAGAGTGAAGGAAGGCCAAGACCTATGAGAAATTCATTTCAAAATAATATCACTGAGGTTTGAAGGTATGATGCACAGTTAGTGGCCAAAGTTAGAGAAAAACTGCTTAGGAATTGTGATTTGTTATTTTATTCAGATTCCAGTAGTTGTTAATTTTTTAGATTTGACTCTTCCAATCTTTTGATGATATTGACAAGACTCTGAGCCATTTCAGTGTTTCTTGGTTATATCTTCAGATAGTTAATAGTGAGTTACTTCGTTCAAGGCTTATATGTATATGGGATCAGTTTTGTTTTGCTTTTTAATTTAAATTTATCTAACTATTCTCTTGTCTGACATAGCAAAACACTGATTGGTGATGTAAGCTTTAACCTGTGGGAAAACTTGAACTACCAATCAATGTTTTGCTATGTCAGACAGGACGATAGGCAAACTTAAATTTAAAAAAAAAATCTAAAAGAGTCTTCCCACACACATAATTTAAAAAATTATCTTAGAATAATGGTAAAGGAATCTTGAAAAGTAATCTAGCCCAGTTTCTTTTTTTTATGACAACTTTCTGATTATTTCTTATTCTATAAATTTTATTACCCAATGCTTAAACATTGTTCTGTGGTCCCGCCCATGGGAGAATCTGTTCCCCCATTGCTTCACTCTGCCCCACCCCATTTTGAGGTTTGCTTACCATCGAGAACAAATTTCTATGCTTTGGATTTCCATTCAAATGTTATGCAGGCTAATATTTGAATGCCCTGAATAGAATGAGGGTGTTTTTGTTCCACTATATTTTATTAGAATGTGCAGGATTTGATGACTTCTTCACCGTGTAAGTAAGCCTTATCTGTGGACTTTTTTTTCTTTTTAAATAGTTTATTTCTTTTATCCTTTATCTTAATCCATTAATTTCTGCTTCCTGAATTATCCTATACAAACTATGGTATAGAAAGTTCACAGAGCTTCTTTTCTCTTTTTGGATTAGTAGTTTGGCTACAGGAGCCTTTTTATACTAATCATACTGATTGAAGGAGCAAAATTATACGAATGCTTTGGTGAATTTTGTCCATGGATGATATTTGCCTACTTTAACAAACATTGTCTTAGCCATTACTACTAACTGAAAGGCATCTTACACAACTATTACATCTAACATCTTTTTTGAGTTCTGTCTTAGTTTTCTTGGAATTCATGAGAAAAATTAGTGGATCTAGTTTATTTTTTTAAGTTCATGTTCACTGTATACTCAAGTTCATTTCTAATTGCTTGGGTTTATACAATTTAATGATTTGGGATTAATATCAAACCAATTTACCTGTTTAACTGGTGATATACGTACAAAAAATTAGATAAACCCTACTTCAAAAAGCTTACATTCCAAAGAAGAAAATTAGTATTTACAGAAACATAAAATGAGTAAGTACAAAGCAGTTAAATACAAGGTAACTTGAGAGGAAGGAACTACCAATTGTGGAATCAGTAAAGGCTTAATTTAGAAGATCACCATGAGATCTATCTTAAAGGAAGAGTGCTTTGTTAGTTGTAGTTAGGGAGTACATTCCACGCATGTGGGATAGCCATAGCAAAGACACAGAGACTAGGGGTGGAATATGGTGTTGAGGAGCAGAAAAAAAGGTCAGTTTAGCTATATTGAAAAGTCTTAGAGAAGGACTAATTTCCAATGAGACTAGTTAAAACTTTGAACAGGAGAGAGATTTGAGGCAAGGAGACCTAAGAGGCTTTTGCACTATTCTGGGTGAGACGTGATGAGTGTCTACACTAAAGTGATAGTTGTATGAATGGAGAATAGGTCACATGTAAAAAAATATTGAAGTAGAAACAGCGAAGTTTGGCAGTTGATCATATATATGGATGGAATGATGGGGAGAAGAGACCATGATAATGTTGAAGTTAAGAAAGTTAGGAGACCGGGAAAATGGTGGTATCATCAGCAGGAATTAAGGAAGTTTGGAAAGGGGGAGGGTTTGGGAAGATAATGAACTCAATTTTAGATTTGTTAAGCTTGTGATGTTTCTGAAACTTCAAATTTGAAATGTCCACTAGGCATTTAATAATGTAAGGCTGAAGCTCAAGATAGAGACTGGTGCTAGAAAGAGACCATATAGGGTGTCCCAAAAGTCTTAGAGCAGTTTTAAGACATTGGGGACACTATATGTAAATATGTATGTATGTGTGTATGAACATATATATAGATTGTATATGTATGTGTATATATGTATGTATGCCATCTGCATTACAGATGAAGTTATGGGAGTTGATGTGGCTAAGAGAGAATGTAAGGAGGGAAGAGAAGGGAACCTCAGACAGAACTTTGGGAAACGTGTTAATTAGTGGAAACTCAAATGAATCTTATTATGAAGGATACTACTGTCGTGCTCTGATATCTCATTGTGCTATGAAGATTATTAGGGGTTCTCAAAGGCTAGTGCAACATAGCATAAACATTGGCACAACTTAAAGCTAAAAAGGCTTGATGACATTTTGTGAATCTGCTTTCCAACGGACAATGTAGCTAAAGTTTAGATATACTCATCACCAGATCATCATAGTCACTGACTAATTTTTTTGACCATTCTAATTCAAGACCACCATCTATTAAGGCATGAAAAGGTTATGCTCTGCATCAAAGAAGGTATACTAATACTGATGAAAACACCGGTCATTTTTAAGGTTTTGAAATAAATTAGAAGGCTGTTTGACTAAGCACTTGTTTAATTTGGAACAAGATGCAGAATCAGCAGCTTTTCAGAGTTGAAAAGGATTTCAGTCACCATCTGATCCAGTTCATGCCTGGAAAAATAAAAAGCTCCTCTACAACATACCTGACAAACAATCATTTTCTTAAAAGATCTGTCACATTAGGGAACCATTATCTCCCAAGGCATTCCATTCTAATTTGAGATCATTCTAATTGTTAGGAAGCTTTTTTCATTTTGTTTTTCCTTTATGTTAAGTCTAACTTTCTGTTTTAGAAAATTGTCCTCATAGGAAGCTTGTACCAGGTAGCCTATAGAATATTGTTAGTATTTAAACAATTACAGTAGTTTATACTGAACTCTGTAACAGTGGCTATTTAAATAGCTACTTTTGTCTTTGGTTTTCCTTAAAGAAACATTTATGCCTGTGATTCCAACTGAAGTTTGGTAACATGCCAGAAGTGATTTGAATCATTGCAATTAGTAGTTTAAATTAAGTTTTTGTTTCTTTGTTTCAACTCAATTAGCATTTCTTTAATTAAAAAAAAAATAAACCTATGCAACAGGGATCATTTAACCAGGGAAAGAGAAGATTTAAGAGGTGACATAATAAAATAATTGTCTTCAAATTTACAAGACTGACATGTGAAAGAGTATTCATGGTGTTCTCCTTGGCCCAAGAAGATAGAACTGAGGAGAAATGGATAGAAATTGAAAAGAGGACAATTTAGACTTGAGTTCAAGAAAAATTTAATAACAATTAGAGCTATCTAAAAGGCTACCTTGGGTGGTAGTGGTTTCTCCTTTTTTTACAGGTCTTCAGGCAAACAATTGATGACCATATGTTGGAAATCTTGTGAAAGGAAATTCTCTTTTAGATATGGGTTGGTCTTGGGGACCAGTGAGATTTCTTCTGACTCTACAATCCTATGACTCCATGATTTCCTGATCCTCTCAATTGTTGGCATTCTCTTCTGCCTTTGATTACCTTGCAGATATCAATCTGTTGACATGTCGTTATCCCCTTGGGAGAATGTAAGCTCCCTGACAACAAGAATTATTTCATTTTTTACTTTATGTCCCCACCACCTAGAACAGTACCTTTCACATAGTATATGCTTAATAAGTATCTGTTAATTTGAATTAAGTATGTTGAACATAAACCACAGAACTATCCTGTAGTTTTGAATGTTTAGGAAAGTGAAAAGACCAAACAACAGATAAATAAGCTAACTTTTGTTAATGATATACTTTGAATTTTTCTTGCTTTGATGAACAACTTGCCATGTCTAAATACAAATTTGTAAGCTGCCTTGAAAAGCAGATTAAAAATTAGGAGACAGTGAGAAGTCTAAGGTTACGGAATCAAACAAGCAACACTTGGGTGTTGAAATCCTCACAGTTATTGATTTATGACATAGAACAAAAGATACAAATAAGAGTTTGAGATACTTATACTGTTTATATAAAATTTATTCTGTTCACTGGCTTTTAGACTGGACAGCTTTCTTCCTTCTGTGTACCCTAAGAACTGTGAAGTATAGATCAAATTTAAATCTTGTGATTCACTTTTGCATGAACTCAGAACTTAACTTGAATACTCAAGATAATTATTTAAGATTGACCGTGCATACGTATATACATAGAAACTTAATATATTTTGCTTGTGGAGATTTGCTTCCAAGATAATAAATTTGTGTTTTTATTAACATCTCTAACTTGGCTATTTTGAAAGTTCCCTAAGGATTATTTACATTACATAAGAGTTTTCCTTTAAATTTTTACCATTCCTAGTACATTTAAAAGTAAGACTATTTACAGATAAATTTTGAGAAACTATATAAATTTTGAGAAACTATGCACACTGGTGGCTAGAAACCTAATATGTATTTATGGATTAAACCTGTCTAGTGTATAAATTAAAACACACCTACCTGTGCTATAATGCCACATTATCACAAAAAGGTAAATTGGGTATAGAATGATTTGAAATCTCTTGAGAACCTTTTGAAAAATGAACATCAGTTTGAATATCTCTTTGTAATTTTTTTAAAGGAGAGCGTGGTTCATCAGTTACCACCTGATGATTTACTGCAGGCCAGGTTTGTCTATTTTTTTTTCACGTTCATTTACTTTCTAAGATAATTCTTTAGCCATAATAATCCTAAAAAACGCTACTTTCATATTTTTGGCAGTGAGTATCCTACAGCACTCCCTGGACGCACTTCTTCCATGAACAATCCGGTACCCTCCAGTGGTAAGAAGTCTTAGAAAAGCTATTCCCTGTGTACCATGTTGAAATGTGCAAATAAGTACTTAGGCAAATGATACATTTGCCTTGTATTAATTTGGTCTGCTTCCTCCTTTTTGTAGATTCAAGCTCTGGATTTTTGACTACGGCCTCTGATCATCTTGATTCCATATTGCAGTATGAAAAAGAGGAAACAGCACCATCAGCTTCTATAATGATAGAAAACCAAGGTGAGGTGTAAAACGACATAAGGAATTATTTTTATCCCAAGACTGTACATAGTAAAACTATTGCCTCTGAGAATTTTGTAAGAAAAAGTTAAGGAACTTTGATTAAGTTCTAGAACTCATTATCTTCTCCCCCAAATCTACTCCTCCAAACTTACTATGTTTGTCCAGGGCACCACTATCATCCCAGTTATACAGGTTCATAAGCTGAGTCATACTTAATTTTTCCTCTTCCCTTACCCCACATATCTAATCAGTTGATAAGTCCTATAGATTCTGCTTTAATAACATTTTTTGTATCTGTCCCTTTCTCTCCATTCAAGAGTATAGTCACTATACTAGTTAAACTTGCTCATTTTACTGATCAGAAAGTTGAGGGCCAGGGAAGTTAAGTGCCTTGAACAAAGTCTCACCAGTAGTATACGTCAGAGGTAGCATGTTGTCTGATTCCACAGCTAGTCTTTCCATTGTATTGTGCTGCAGCTCTCACTGAAACACTCCACTAATTTGGCTTCTGCCTGATATTCCAGGTTTATTTCATATTGTTTTATGTTTCTCTAACTCAACCTTCTGTACATCAGTCCTGGAGTATACTTCCTTTTCATTTCCACTTCTTGGATGATAGGTTAGTTCAAGACTCTGAACAGGTGCTAACTTATACTCAGATATTTCCTGATTCTCTCCGCTGTCAGTACTCTTTCTCTCCTAAATTGTGAGGTGTTTGTTTATCTGTGTACATATTGTATCCCCCTATAAAATGTCAGCTTTCTGAAGAAAAGGATTACTTTTTTTGTTCTTAATTTTTGTCTTTGTATCTCTAACTTCTAGCATAGGGCCTTTCATATAGCAAGAGTATGATAAATATTTGTTGAATTGAGTTAAATTGTAAGTTAGAAAGCTAAGGGGTAAGATGGCCTTGTTTACTGTTTTTTGCTTCCTCTGAGGACAGAGTGAGAGGAAATGGGTCCAAACTACAGGATGAAGATATTCGATGAGACTTGAAAATTTCCTAATAGTAATGGTGATTTGACACTGGGACAGATAACTGAAAGAGAACCTATATACCTTACCTACTTCCTAGGAGATATTTAAAATCAAATCTAATTTTTTTCAGAATGATTTAGTATCCAGTCTACCAAAAAGGTAATGATATTAACTGGACGACCTTTGAAAATGCCACTGCAGCCATGTGATTCTGAGAACAAGCTGTGGCTTTTAGCCACTTGTAGCTGGATAGCACTATGCTTGTGTTCTTTGAGAATCTAGGCCAATGACCAAATAGGGGAAGGAAAATAAGCAAACCTCATGTCCTGAGGCAAAGATATTTCAGATGGGCCAGTAGTAATGTGGTAATATATACATTATAGATTTGAATTCTATTGCATAGCACAGCAACCAAAAATAATCTTAATATTATAGAATTAATTTTAATGATCAACCTTGGCCCCAAAGGAGGTATGAGAAACTGCACCTCTCTCATGTTGGAAAGCAATCTGGAACTATGCCCCCAGAATAACTAAACTCTTCACACTCCTTGACCCAGCAATACCAACAAAATCAACAAAAGAGGGAAAGTATCTAGCTATCTATCTATCCTTATGTGTATATGTGTTATATATATATATATATATATATGTGTATATATATACACACACACACACACACAAAATTTTTGTAGGAGCAAAAACCTGGAAACTAAGGAGATAGCTATTTATTGGGGAATGGTAAAAACAAACTGTGATATATGAATGTAATAGAATATTATTACTTCATTTTAAAAAGTGACAAAATGGATGGTTGTAGAAAAACAGCCTGGATGAGCTGACACAGAGTGAAATGAGCTTAACCAGAAGGACAGTTTGTATAATAAGAACAACATTGTAAGGAAAAATCACTTTGAACAACTTAGGAACTTTGATCAATCCAATGGTAAACCACAATTCCAGGGGACCAAAAATGAAGCATGCTACCCACCTTCTGACATGTGATGCCTGAAGACACAGAATGACACATATACTTTTGGACATAGGCAATATGGGAAATCGCTTTGCTTTACTATTCATATTTGTTAGGATTTTTTTTCTTTTCTTTTTCTGTTCAGTTGTGGTATGGGAGGTGGTAGGGAGAAAAAAATAAGTGCTTGATAATTGAAACTTTTAACATATCTTTAAAATAATACATACCTCTGTCCCTTCTCTACAGAGAGAGGAAAATATAGATGTGCAACATTTTATATATACTGTCAGACATGGTTGATATGTTGCTTAATTTTGCTGAGCTGCTTTTTTTCACTTTTTTATTCTTTGTTACAAGGGATGGGCTTACTAGGGAAGAGAAAAGAGATAAATTTGGAAGTGAAGATGATAAAAATAAAAGTAATCATAATAATTACCTTAAAATAGTGAAAATGTATAAATTAAAAGTATCTTTGTCTCTTTAATCTATGGTTTTTTTTATCTAAAGAGAATTGAATTAAGTTAAAGGAAATCACTTTTACGTATCAGTCATGTATGGAATCCCCAATATTTATTTATCAAATCACAAAAGGTAACCATGATTCTGAAAATTGTTTACCATTCCTTTCCCAATTTCTTATTGATATAGTAGTGATACAATTTGTGTATCTCATTATCCCTTTTAACACCTATTAAGATATAAGCTCCTTGAGAGCAAGGGCTGTATTATCTGTCTCTATATCTCCAGCACGTTATATATAGTAGGCACTTAATAATAAGTATTTGTTGAATGGAATTGATGAGGGCGAGCAACATCTCCCTAAATAAGTTCCATGCTGGCTATGCACTATCATTTCATTTTTATTAGCAAATTATACCCACTGCCTTTGAGCACTGGGGAATTGTTGCTGTGGATTTTTCCAATTCTAGTCAACTTTAACTTTTAGAGCTTTATATACATCTATGTATGGGTAGATTTATATGTATATATGTTCACTTCTTAAAGACCCATAATGACTGTTCATATTCCCCTCATCTCTTCCTTCATCTCTTTCTATTAACTCTTTTTTATTTTATCTACTCTTTTGTGTGTTTCTCTCATAGGTAAAAATTTAGCTAATGAAGATGTTCCATTTCACATCTCTAAGGATGAAAAGAAAACCACATTAAATTTGGTAAGAGACTAGGCCAATGCTGTTATTAATGGTGATCACAGAAGTATTGAATTCGATCTAGCAAAGACTTTAGAAGGCTTCTAGCCTGATATCCTCATTTCACATACAAGAACCTGCATCCCTGAGAAGTTAAGTGACTTGCTAAGAAAGGTTAGTGAGTAACCAAGCTAGGCTTCTAACACAGGTTGACTAATTCCAAACCCAAGGCCCTTTATGATGATAATAATGAAGATGATGATAATGATAACATTCTACATTTGTACTTTACTCTTTCCTTTTTCAAAGAACTTTCACAAACATAATGTCATGACATCACAGATTCTACAAACAGAATTTGTTAAACCCTTATTTTGAGACTTGACCATTTATATTTTTTTTGGGGGGGGAGGTGAGGCAATCGGGGTTAAGTGACTTGCCCAGGGTCACACAGCTAGTAAGTGTCAAGTTTCTGAGGCTGAATTTGAACTCAGGTCTTTCTAACTCCAGGACCAGTGCTCTATCCACTGTGCTACCTTCCTGCCCCTATTTTTTTTCAACTTTTCAAGCATCCACAGTTGTACCATTCTAGGTACTTTTCTCTACTCATACAGATCACAGTCCTTCCACACCCTTCTAAGCCAAATTCAATAAATGCTATGACCAAAAACATTCCTCACAAGGTAACTGAGCCTATGAGAATAAGCCTCTTTCTACTTAGCTAGCTGCTTTTTGGATAACATTGAATGCCCATCTCCAGGGCTTTATTTGAACTCTTTCCAGCTTGGTAAGACTTGTGAAGCTTATGCTTCACTGGGATAGCCTTTGAGATTCCAGGTTTCCCTCTACCCCATAATGAGATATCAAGGCAAGCTGTTAGGGTTGGTGACCCTGAATTTGCAAAAACTATGCCAACAGATTAAAGGCTGATTTCCATATGTAATAAAAACACTGTTCATTCTTCTTGATTGCTATTCTAACATGCAGTAAAGATTTTTTTAGGGACTCTTTTATTCCTCCAGTGCTTAGCACTGTGATTTACATATAGTAAAGCTCAATGAATATTTAATGAAGTGAATAGAATATTTCGAACATTAATTTTTTGTTAAATTATTGTGATTTCATAGGCTATCAAATGCATCCTTCTATGTAATACAATTAGGACCCTGTTATATTATAATCCCACAGTTTTAGTTATGAAAGAGGTAATAATTTTATGTCTAGTGAAAACAATATTCACTATCCATGTATACAGTAAAAGTCCTGTCTACCACCATTTTTCTACATCAGCACATTTCATTATAAACTTTGTGTCAAAATAACCCTCAAAGGTCTGTGCTTTCCTGCCTCTCTAGAAGTGAAGTAATGTGGTATAATAGAAAGAACGTTGATGTTCAATCTAGGAGACCTGTGTTCAAGTCTTGGTTTTTGTTATTTTCTAGCCATATGACTGTGAATAACTCATAAAACCTCTCTGAAGTACTCTCCTCATCTGTAGGATGGGGATAATGATGTTTTTCCTGCCTTCCTCTCAGGATTCCTGTGAGAAAAATATTTTATAAATTGTGATACCCTATGTGAATGTAAGCTGCCATTGCTAATAATATTTAGTCACAGTATTTCCCCCATCAATATTCAATATGCCCTTTCCATTCCTCTCTGACTAATAGAATATTCAAATTCTAATCCCTTGTCTTCCATGGAGATTTCTCACACCATTCTGGGCCCATAGTATGTGATCTCTGCCTTCTCTGAACTTATAGAACTTATTGCCAATATCACCTTATGACTGGTCTTCTTTTGTTTTCTTTTACTTATTTGACTTTTCAAGTCTTTATGCCTTGTCTCCCTCACTAGATTATAAAATTATAAAATTTATAGAATTATAAAATCCTAAACTCTAGGTTTTCAAACCTTGCCTTGCATATGCTAAATACACATTAAATGTCTATTGATAGAGAGGAAAACCCCAAAGCATTATAAAGAACTGTATTCATAGCAGTACTCCAGTGGTTCTTTATTATGTCTTTCATCTCTACAAATTTTAGCAAACCAAAGAAGGACCTGAAGCAGTTATGGAGTGTAAAGAAGAATATGCCATTGGAGGAGGTAAGAGGAGTTTTCTCCCACTTCTGTGTAGGTGTAGAATCTCACTTAGAGACACTAAAATTCTGTTACTTTACCTAGGGCTAAAACAATAAATGAAAGCTAATATTTGACTCCATTTTTGTCTCCCCTGCTTTGAAACTTCAATGATTTTGTGATCTTATTGATAATGGTATTCCCCTCAGCAGTGAAAATCACAACACACTCATACTTTTTTGTACTGTTCTATTTATGTCTGTGCCAATCTGTATATCTTTCTCTAGGTCTCCTGACATTCCATGAGAGAGGTTTATCCACTGGTTACCCTTTATTCTGTCTGCATGACTGGTCCACATGTTTTTCTCATCATTCATGTCTCTGACGATATCCCTTATACCAATTCTCCTGCACAATTCTTTGGTGATATATTGTCGCCTACTCATACCCACCATGAATAGACTTTTTGGGTGGCATTCTACTCAGATTCTTCTCCAACTGTGCTTTTCCATGACTCACAGCCAAACAATCTCATCTGAAGAATACCAGTATTAAAAAGATGAATCTTTGTTTGAGGGAAAAGCTTGGAGTCATTAAAAGCACTGCCCAATTTCAATTCAGGCAATTCAGCCTTCCCTCCTCCTTCTATTCAGTTGTGGGTCCTGTTCATTGTCCATCTGAAGTATCTATTCAAAGTATATATGTTGATTAGGCACTTAGGTGGCATAGCGGGTAGAGTGCTAAAAATAGAGTCAGGAAAACCTGAATTAAAATCCTGTCTCGGATACTTACTAGTTGTGTGACTCTGGGCAAGTCACTTAATCTCTCTTAACCTCAGTTCCTTCACCTATAAAATGGAGATAGTACCTATCTCACAGAGTGGTTATGAGGACTAAATTACACACACACACACACACACACACACACATACATGTATGTATATGTACATACAAATATATGTACATATATATATATACAAACAACTATAGTGCTTTGCAAACCTTAAAGTGCCATATAAATACTATTATTATAATTACTGATGGAGTAGCTCTGTGGGCTTCCTATCCATTTGTATATCATGGTCTGGAGAACAGAAGTACTTCAGCCACTGGGCTTTTCCATTGTGAATCATTCAGCTCAAACTGTCTTGAGTGATTGTGGGTCTCACCAGGGCTCTTGCAGTATTCTAGATTTTCATGCTGATAAGGTACAAAAGGGAGAATCCAGAGGAATTTATAGGGAATCTCTTGTTGTCCTTCATAATCATGGCAAACACCTTTGGCAAGTACTTGTCACCCTCTTTTATGCCTCATTTAATAGTAATAATCAAGGAATATTAAACACATCTATCTCCTTTTATACATCTTTCAAGAATCTTGTATTATTTTGTTATATGGACAGGAGATATTTTTAATATGTTTTTATTTATTTTATTAAATATTTTCCAATTACATGTAAAAACATTTTTAACATCGATTCCCTAAAATTTTGAGTTCCAAATTCAAAGATTCTTTTTTTGAAGGAGAACTGGAAGCAGCTTTTTGACCTAGCAGACCAAATGCTTTTTTTGTAACCAGCAAACAATAGACACAATGGAGATACTTTATTGTCTACACCTTCCAATTCATTTGTATAACTATAAAGATGTAGCATATCGTAGGATATCATTTTGAAAAGCTTGCTTGTTCCCAGTAACTTAAGCAGTTATGCCTCAAAATGTTAACGTCAGATGGTTACCTTTCATTATTCCCACCTGCTTCTACACAGGTCTGAACAGTTTTAATTGCCCTTTCAATTTTGTGAGCTGACATATTTATGAAACATATATAAAACCCAGACTTCTGCCAAAGTGATGCTAAGTTCTAAGGTCCATTTCTCATAGAGGAATCGCTAATCTCCATTTTTTTCTTTATTGAGAAATACCTTGGTAAAGATTCAGTTAACAAGAATTTTTTAAGAGCTTTTAATTTGGCCAGTATGTATTACTGCTAGGAAATGGTGTCATATTTTTTCAACATTCAGCTCCAGTAAGAGCAGCTGCATTATCCATGCACTTGAGAGACTTAGTCATATTTCAGATATTTTTGTAACTCACAGTGTTCAGTTTAATCACTGGAACCAGTGGTTTTAACATTCTGACTGAAATCATCAGGACTTCAAGTTTAAGCTATAATACTATAGCTGACATGGCTCTTTTAATGACATACTTTTTTTTGGTTACTTGTTATTTAGGAGATATAACTCAGCTAAACGAAGGTTCATTAAGTAGTTAACGTGATTTAACAAAATAATGTCCTTTTTGCCCCTTGATAGAAACTGCTGCTTCTGCTATTCCGGTAACCAGTGTTAAATCAGTCAGCTTTAGACAAAGTGACCAGTAAGTTCATTTTATCACAATCCATGAATGTTTCTTATTACTTTCTTGAGGGTTTTGTTTGAAGTCCTTCTCTTTCTTGTTCAGCAGCATTTCTACAAATGAAAAAGAGGTAGAGGTAAGTATGAAACATTTTCTATTTTTGGCTTTTACCAAATATAAAAAAATCCTCAAGTTCACATGTGTATAACTGGGACATGAATCCTCTCCAGTTTGATTGGCAACACTGGGATTTGGCTTACTAAGAAGCAACTTCACTAAGGTCCCCACGTATATCAGATTCATTTGTGTCTCTTCATGCAATCTTTCTTTACATTTAAATCTTGTATTAACCCTCATTTTCTCTCTTCATTCTTATACCCCTTTTGTATTATTTTCTATAACAGGCCGAATTTCTTAGATTATCTTTGGGATTTAAATGTGATTGGTTTACCTTGGAGAAAAGAGTCAAGCTTGAAGAGAGGTCTCGGGATCTGGCTGAAGAGAATCTAAAGAAAGAGATCACTAACTGTTTAAAGTTATTAAAGGTTAGACCAAGAATATTTGGGAACTTATTTCTATACTCTGGAACCTAGAGAGGTTTCAGAGTTTGGGTAACACTACAGACAGTTCTTTCTCTCTTTTGAAGAGTTTTGATTTTCTTCCAAGTCTAAGCTTAGACACTACTTCCTCTGTGAAGCCTTCCCTGATCTTACCAGTTGTCTTCTCTTTCCCTTTCCCATTAGCTTGAAGTTATTTATGTGTATGTTTGTGTTGTTTAGTCGAAAACATCTAGAAGGTGGATACTATTTTATTTCTGTATCCCTGGTGCATAACAGAATGTATTGCTCGCAGTAGGTATTTAATGTTTGTTGAATTCATTTGAATGTAACCTAAAACCAAATTTGCTATTTTTTTCCCACCATGCCACATTATTAGCTCATCTGACTTACAGTTCACTAAAATCCCCAGATTTTTTTTCTCACATGAGCTATTACCTAATCATGCCTCCAAACTTGTGATCCTGAGGTTGATTTTTTTAACCCAAACATAGGATTTTATCTTTATTACATTTCATTTTCTTAAGTTCAACCTATTGTTCTAACCTACTGAGATCCTTTTAGATTCCAATTAGTCATATTAGATCCCACATATTCTGTCATTACTTCTCCCTCAGAGATTCACAAAGGTGTTTCCCATTTGTATGTGTGTGAGAGAAGGTGACAGAAAGTATACACACACACAGAAAGTGTGTGTATATCTATATCTATCTATAGATAAATATCTATAGATAGATTTCTCAACTCCCTGTTCCCTACACATTTAATAAGTATGCCTTCTATGTGTTTATAGATCTGTTGGTAAAATTGCTGAGAAAAATATTAACATTGCAGAGCCGAGAACAGATTTCTGGAATGCTTCATTAGAAACTTCTCTAAATATTTACTAGCAATTTTCTTCATTCTTGGTCTATTATGGAATGACAGCAAAAAGAACATCCCCACCAACAACAAAACACTCTCAATTTTTTTCCTACCTTCTTGTCCCTTAAACAATAAGATAGCTCTTTCTCTTACTTATTGCTAGCAATGATGAGAAACAGAAAAAAAGTCAAAAAGGTTCCCTCTTTTTTTTGCATTTAGACCCCAAAGAGAAAGTTAAAATATACATAAATAATAGTAGTAAGTTTTGGGGTTCAAAAAGGACTGATATGTATTTCCACTACATTTAAAAGGAAAAACCAAGAACTGAATTGAGTATGTCTTTCAAATATTTCACTATAGAAGTGAATTGGGAATAATAGTTAGCACTAGGGATTTAGGCTGAAGAAAAGGATAGGTAAGGGTATGAGATGGAATGAGGGGACTGGATCTCCTATTGCCTGTGAAACCATTACTACTCCTTGGGGAGTAGCAATCATTGGCAGTGAGCAGGAGACAGAGCATCAGAGGTTTACCACACCTCTCTTTATCCTTGCTGATTGAGTCACTGCAGATTCACTAGATCAGCACTGGGAAGAGGTAAAAAAATGGGTACTGAGTTTGGAAGGCTGGCCCATGCTGACGGACCTTAGAAGAGGTTGATCGTGATGGTGAGGGTTCTGGAGACTGTGCCATATAGCATGTCCATAAATTTAATAAACTAGAAACATTATGCCTCAAAATTTATCTTTAGAGGAGAAATGATAGCTATCTTTAGGTATTTAAAGGACTATGAGATAGAAGAGGATTAGACTTGGTATACTTGGTCATAGGGCTAAACTAAGAACATCTGGTGCAGGTTGTAATAAGGGCAAGTCTTAGCTTGATATAAAGAAAAAAATTCCTAGCAATTAAAACTCTGAAAGATGGAATAGTTAATTTTAGGAGGTGACGTGCTGCCCCTTAACTAGGGCTCTTCAGGTGATGACTGGATGACTATCAAAAAGTTGTAAAGAGATTCCTGTTCCAATATGATTCCAGGTTCAGATCTACTAAATAGCCCCTGAGATCCTTTTAAGCTTTGTGATCCTGTGAAGTGATGGTAACAAAGGGGTTATAGTTCACTGGGCCTTCATGACAAAAGAAATTATTTTTGACCAGAAGACTTGAGACCTTGCTCATCTACTTATTAGCTATATAACTTTGGGCAAGTCACTTAACTTCTCTGAACCTCAGTTTCCTTTTCTGAAGAATAGGAGTAATACTTGTACTGCCCATATTACAGGACTGCTATGAGAATCAAGTGAGATAATATGTTTAAAGTAGCTTGGTAACCACTATAGCAATGTATGTTGTTATTCTCTCCACCATCTTAATCCCCTAGAGAAGTCCACAGAAATAGGGTTGGAAGGGATCTGAGAGGCCACTCGAGTCTGAACAACAGTCCCTTCTATGAAATGCTTAAAAAGTCACCCAACCTTCAGTTAAAGATCTCTAGTGAGTAGTAATCTGCCATGCCCTATGACAACCTATTCCATTTTTAGATATCTCTAATTATCAGGAAATTCATCAAACCTAGAAAGCTTGGGAAATTCTATGAAGTCCAAATTTCTGTCTATAATTTCCACGCATTGTTTCTAGTTCTGCCCTCTGGAGCTAGAGATACCACACCTAGTTTCCCTTTTACATGGAAGTGCTGGTAGTACTTGGAGATACCTATTACATCCTTCCAAAATCTTCTTTTCAGGTTAAACATCCCTATTTGCTTCAGATGATCCTATATCATATGGTTATTAGGTCCTCTACTATCCTAGTTGCCTCCTTTGGACATTCTCCAGTTTAACAATATCCTTCCTAAATGGTAGCACCCAAAACTAAATACAAAACTATACCAGGTAAAATCTGGACATACTAGAATACAATGGGACTGTCATCTTCTTAGTCCTAGACAGAAACTATTCCTGTTGTAATGTAAGCTAAGATCAAATTAACTTTTTTTAGCTGCTATATCACTCTTGATTTATATCATGTTTACAGCTCACCAAAACTTCCAGATATTTTTTCAAATAAAATGTTATCTAGCCATATTTCCTCCATCTTGTACTTTTGAAGTCAATTTTTTTTGAATCATGTAAAAATGTACCTTTTGTATTATTACATTTCTCATTTTTGAGTTCTGGTTTGTCTGAAATGCAACATTCATTATTCCTCATACATAACAGTTTATTTCCCTTTTGTGCAGTCTTTAATAACTCTCTGTGAAGATGATAACCAAGCCCAAGAAATCATTAAGAAGCTGGAGAAGAGTTTAAAGTTCCTTAACCAGTGCACAATGAGAGTTGCTAGCAAGGCAGAGATGCTGGGAGCCATTAATCAGGTAATTCTGAATTATTCACTTTGCAAGTGGAATAAATTAAAGACTTTGGGTGACCGAGTTACTAGATTACTTAAATTCTTAGTCACCACGATTTGAAACTTTAAACATTTCTATCTGGACAAATCTATGAGGATTTTTCTTGTCTAAATATGTACTGTGCTGGATTTGAAGGGCTGATTTTCAGAGGCTGGAGAGTTAATCCTTCTCCCCTGCCTGTTGCTCCAGCACTCAATAGTAAATGCTTTCTAAGTGAAATGTTCATGTTGTAAACCTGCGTGTACATCGCTGAAAAGAAAGCACAGCCCAATGCACAGCTCACGGATGCAAGCAAGGCTTTTGTAGAAGGCTATGGTATAATTGAATCTTAGGTGATCAGGGACTACAGGAAATCTAAATAAGTACCTCAAGTGCTTTCAGATTAGGCACATGTTCCTCTGCAGCTGTAGAGTCTCTGGTCACATACACACCAACCGAAGAACCAGCATTTTTTTGTGGCCCAGTAGGCCCAGTCCATCTGCTTTTAAATAGAAGAGGCCTTGCCTCTGATGTGTGTAACCACTATCCACCATTTCAGATTTATGCCTCTGAGACACTGAGGCAGTGATTGCTTGGGACAAGGTCTCTGGGCTCAGGTTTGGCGATCTGAGAATTCTAGGCCTCTATTATTACACAATAGCCTTGAGCTTGGGTCTGGCAAAGTCTTCTTTATATACTCTACAGACCCCAGGCAATTAGAGCCTCCCTTCTGGTTTATAGATGGTCATTATCTCTGGGATATAGAACTGTAAAAGAAAACAAAGCAGCTATTAAACATTTGGTAAAGCCAGGAAAAGTGTCTTTAGATTTGCATATGTGTTTACAGAATGTGGAATATCTAATACAAAGATTGATATTTCCTTAGGAGATATTCTTTTTACAGCCACATTGTACACATTTTCTAGGATTATGCTCAGTATAAAAGCTTTAGTTTATACAACTGCTTTATAGCCTTACAGTTTTCTTATCTACTTTATGTATACAAAGCTGTAGTTTCCAGGAAAGCAGGTCAGGCAAGCGGAAGTACAAATGGTTTTTCTTTTCTTTTCTTTTCTTTCTTTCTTTCTTTCTTTCTTTCTTTCTTTCTTTCTTTCTTT